GTTAAAAAATAAAATTTTTATGAGTATCATTTTATAAAGAACAATGAGTAAATAAAATTATGTAGCCAAGTAATAATTGAAATTATAAGATTTTATAGTCATTAGAATATATAATTATTAAATTTTATTATTAATTAAATTAATCTATATGTTGAGGAAAATGAATTAAATAAGTAAATATATAAAAAATATTAAAATACAAAAAAATAAAATATTTACCATAAAAAATTTTTGTTGCACAAGAGATAAAAGTTACTAAAAATTAAAACTTAATTATCATAAGTTAGTATTTCATGCAATTAGAGTAATTATAAATAAAAATTAATTTTATGGATTAAATGTTGGTCAGTTATCGAAGTAATATGAAAAATATGAATTGTTAAAAAATTATAAGTAATTGGTATACAATTATTATATTTTAAATCTTACACTTATAATATTTTATAAACTAATAACCAATTAAATTCATACCTACAAAAATAAACTGAAAAAAAATGAAATATTTAAATAAATATTATATTATCATTGACTTGATATTGTGTCGAATAAAATTGACATATTACCTTAAATAATTTAATAATATTTAATAAAAATATTTTTTATATTGTATCCCGTACATCGTACGGGTAACAACACTAGTCCCTATTTACGGTGAGACATCCACAATTTTCTTTCTATGGTACTGTTTTTTGCAATTGTTTTTAAAAACAATATTCGTAAAATTTGTATAATAAATCGTATTTATATTTTCCGAACACAAATATACTATGCAAAATCTATATCTATATAAATAAATCTACTATATAAAAAGTTTTCATACATATAAACAGCTAATTAAAACTTGTGCGACTTTAAACAATTAGCATGAATTAATGTTTAATTACTAATTTTTTATATTTTATATAATAAGATGTAATGTCTAATGTTTTGCATGTTGCAATACATATTATTCGTGAATATTTTTAGGCAATACATATTATTAACGCTGATACTTTTTTAGGCGGTAATATATATTATTCACATGTAATATTTTATATATTTTAAACATATTATTTGAGCAAATGTTTTATACATCCGATAGATTAAGGTCTACACACACACACATATATATATGTATATATTAAACTTAAGTGTATGTAAACATGTTTTACTTACAAAATAAGTTAAAAAAACTTCAGGCGACCTCGCATCTAATACTTTTAGATAATCTTACATATGTAATATAATATTTTATATATTCTTAGTATTTTAAGCATACATATTTAATATTCATTTATATAATGAAAAAAGTATAAAAATATTAATAAATATTATTTAGCTAATCGAGTATAGTCGATATTAAAATGATAAATTAATAGCATTTTTCGAGCTGACATATAAATTATCATATGATAAATAAATCCTTTCGATTTTAGGTTTCCATTTAAATTCCGCGACACAAGTTTCTACTTATAGTTTTGTATCCATGATGATAAACAATAATTAATTTTCAATCATGACCAAATATATGTTGCTGTTTCGTGTGTAATTAATAGAAATATTTTGAAAATATTAGTTTGTGAGACATCGAGTTGCACAGTAATCAAAATGTTGTGTAAAATGAAGTTTTTAATAATATACTATTTTTTTTAGGAACATTTTTTTTATTTGACAATTTCCTTATGTATTATCACTTTTTTATATATTAACACACTTCAATTTATAATATTCACTTTTTTATTTATCAATACACTTCAATTTTATATTATACCCTAAAAGATATACAGTCCGTGCATCGCACGGGGTTACGTACTAGTTTTATTCATAAAAATATTAATACATGTGTGTTACCCGTGCGATTCGTACTAGTTAGAGCATCCACAATGCTTTGGGTCTCTTTTTGCATATGTGGCAAATAAATAGACTTAAGTCCATAATGACATGGACAAACCTAAACTAAAAAATCCAAAATCTATCCAATGCAAAACAAAAAAGTACTAGGTCTAGAATACATGACAACCAATAAAAATGCTCTAGTATATTTCATTTATTAAAAGAAAAATTAAATGAGGAATAAATGATGAGTGCTTGGGTTTGTACTTGGGTCTAAAATAGACCCAAGTGTGGACTAGGTCTCATTTTTTTATTGCCACATAAGCTAGACTAGGTCCACTTTTAATTGCATTGGAGAACACTTTTTTATAGACTAAGTCTATTTCTTACATGGCATGTAACTTTTTTCTAAAAAACTCAAAGCATTGTGGGTGCTCTTAACATTACGAGCCCTAGCAATTAGCAAATAAAATCTTAGGTCTAAAACAGAAAAACAGAGGAAAGGAATCAAAGTATCAGAAACCTTGTTGGCGGTGGTACACAGCCGAGGAAACGGAAAACTACTGAGGTAAGAGGCGTTAATGGCAGTTCGAAAGTAAGCACTTCACTCTATTCTTCTGCGATTTTTTTCGCAATAATCTTCCGGCTAACATAAATACTTGAAATCCGTTGATTTTATCGGCCGGCCATGGAGCTAATAATTCCGACAAACCAAACCCTACAAAACTTCCCCTCATTGCACCACGATGCGCGTAGACAAACCTCCAGACACCATAAAGATACGATTTTTCACTCTTCTACTACTCTCGTTGTTAAGAAGCTCGGGCCTAGGAAACAACGACGGCCAGCCGTCAAGGTACTAGCCGTCTCGACCATCGAAAATGCCAAAATTGCCCCCCGAAGGCGGCAGCCTACCGGCCCATCTCACAGTTTCGTGGAATTCGAGAGCAACAAATACCTTCAGAGGCTGGTCCGAAATGGGGAGCTTGATGAAGCTTTCAAGCATCTCGAGAAGATGGCCTCTCATGGCGACATTCCGGATATTATCCCGTGCACGAGCCTCATCCGCGGGTTTTGTCGATTAGGAAAGACCAAAAAGGCCACGCGGGTCATGGATATTGTCGAGCAGTCAGGGGCTGTGCCGGATGTCATAACCTACAATATCTTGATCCGGGGTTACTGTAAATCGGGCGAGTTACAAAATGCTTTGAGGGTATTGGAGAGGATGAATGTGGACCCGGATGTGGTCACGTACAACACGATCCTCCGTACTCTGTGTAATAGCGGGAAGTTGAAGCAAGCCATTGAAGTCCTCGACCAGCAGCTGAGGAAGAAATGCTACCCGGACGTGATCACATATACTATCCTGATTGAGGGTACGTGCCGGGAAAGCGGGGTGGAGCAGGCCATGAAGCTCCTGGATGAGATGAGGAATAAAGGGTGCAAGCCGGATGTGGTGACTTTCAATGTTTTAATAAACTGGATTTGCAAGGAAGGGAGATTGGACGAGGCTGTCGAGTTCTTGAACAATATGCCGTGTCAGCCGAACGTGATCACGCATAACATTGTCTTGCGGAGCATGTGCAGCACAGGCAGGTGGATGGATGCCGAGAGGTTCTTGGGTGAGATGATCAGGAAAGGGTGTTCGCCTAGTGTTGTCACTTTTAACATTTTGATTAACTTCCTGTGTCGGAAGGGGAAAGTGGCCAGGGCCATTGATATTTTGGAGAAAATGCCGAAATACGGGTGCACCCCGAATTCGATGAGTTATAATCCTCTGCTTCACGGTTTTTGCAAGGAGAAGAAGATGGACCGCGCTATCATGTATCTCGAGGTAATGGTCTCCAGGGGTTGTTATCCGGATATAGTGACGTATAACACGCTGCTCACAGCCCTTTGCAAAGATGGGAAGGTCGATGTTGCAGTGGATATCTTGAAGCAGCTGAGCAGTAAAGGTTGCTCGCCCGTTTTGATCACATACAATACAGTAATCGACGGGCTTTCCAAGATTGGTAAAACTGAACAGGCCATGCAGCTGCTGTTTGAGATGCGGGAAAGGGGTTTGAAACCTGATGTTATCACTTATAGCTCACTCGTGGGGGGCCTTAGCAGGGAAGGGAAAGTCGAGGAGGCCATCGAGTTTTTCAGGGACTTGGAGAGATTGGGTATTAGGGCTAATGTTGTCACTTATAATGCTATTATGCTTGGGCTTTGCAAGGCTCGACAGACCATCCGGGCCATTGGTTACTTGGTGCACATGGTGTCTAGAGGATGCAATCCTAATGAGTCTACTTACACGATTCTGGTTGAGGGTTTAGCATATGAGGGCTACACGACGGAGGCTTCGGAGTTGTTGAATGAGCTTTGGTCTCGAGGGGTCATGAGCCAAAGATCGGCCGAGTCTTTGGCCCTGAGATTTGGTTTAGATTTTTGTGCTGTTATTACTTATGATTAGTTGAACAGTGGGTTGTCTACTCAATCTAACTGCACGTGTTGGTGTTTTTGGCACTATGAATGTCGTGTGAGTGAGGCTGATGACTAGATTAACGTGTACGGACGATGAGGAATAAAAGGGCCTCAGATTCCCAGTTATGGAGAAAATGCAAATTTCTTGCTGAATGTGCATGGAATGTGTTTGGATCCCTATGCAAATTTAATTACATGGGTTTATTTATTTTTTCCTTAATAATATATCATGATATTACTACTCGAATTAGACTTAATACAGTCTTTAAATTATTTGTCTCACATCTGGTTATTTATGGTTTTCCATTGTCACCTGAAAGTGTGTGGACATCATGATCTGAGTTACAATCCATAGATGATCCTCATGCATCCTGGAGGAAGCTAGATTTTATTTTGTTATGTTTCTTGCATAACTAGAACTAGCTACTGTTTGCTTGCCTACGCAATTTTCCGAAAAGACGATTGGCATTTCTTTTTTCTCTACACATGAAATGCCTTCGATGGAAACAACTGAAAAAAATGCATCAATCCATTACATGAATGTCGAGCAGCTTTTATCATGGCA